ATATATAAAGATAGATATTGTATTATAAATATGACACATTGATCAGAAGAGGATGAACGACTCTCCGTCGATGGATGAAATCGCTTATGATGAGAAAACGCGAGAGACGTTCGCTCACGTCGGAGAAGGAGCCCGCGAGGAAAAGCGGCTTCAAATGCGTCCCTCATTAGCGAGCAGCGCGTCAACATATCAATATTATCGCAGAATGCAATGCGAGCGCAAGAAGGGACGTGTCGAGATTACGCCGATTGATCTTCGATTCTTCCCTTGGATCCTAGCGAATGACAAAAAGAGAAAAAGCCAGGCGGAAAAGAAAACAACGTGAAAAGAAAGAACGCAAGCATAATGTCGCAGAGTGTGAGGTACGAGGAGACGAAAGAATGACGTATACGCGAATGACGATGGTTGCGTGCAACGAATGCGTGACACGCAACGTCCCATCGATGATCGATAGCGCTTCTCGATTTTCACAAGTCCGACCGAGGAGTTTTCTCGCGAAGCAACGTCCATTCCAATATATACATATATCCGTTTAATAGGAAATCATTTCTTTTTCTTCTTTCCAGAAAGGAAAGAATGATAGAGCGAACGAGAGGCTCGCTTCACTGTATTTCGTTACATCCGCATTCGCTAATTAAAGTAAAGACTGCATATCCCGGGATCTGCGACACGTACACCCGGGATACACACGTTACCGGCGACTATGTCTTGAGGGAGACCAACGGGGCGGCAGACATATGCGTACGGAAATATTGCGCGTGAGATTAAAACGGCTTCCAAGCGAGTCCCGGCGAGCCATGAAAAGATTTTCTTTTTATTTTCTAATTTAACGATTTAACGTTAGTAAATATAGTCGATGATCGTGTCGGCATCGAAGCGACGTTGGGTCGCGACGGATAGAAGCGGTAGGCGCGCTTCGAGAGGCAATACTTCTTGCATTCTAAGATACAAAATGGACAACGACAAAGCGAAACATTTTTCGCGCGGTCCTACTAGCCAACTACTACCCCTTTCTCTCCCTTAATCGCGAAGAAGCGAAGAGAATTGCGCCTACGGCACGATGATTAAAAATCGATCGCTTCTATCTCGCAGCGCGATTCAACGACGCTTCGATCGTTCGTAAACGAAGTGTTGCTCCGAAGTGTCATACTCCGAGCGTCCGAAGAATGCCGGAATATATACGCTCCAGTGTCTTTCGGCTCGCCGTGCTTCCTTCCGCGTACGTCCGGAAAAAGGAAAGAAAAGGGCGAGAAGCACCCGCGGAGGGCTGTGCGGCGACAGCGAAATCTCCTTTAGGAAAAAAACGAAAAAAAAAAGGGAGACAGAAGGCTACTGAGGAACGGCGACGATTTTAAGAAGCAATAAATGAATACACGCAAATGCAGATTTTTATATAGAAAATGTTAACAAATTTCAGAAAATATTAATTATCGATAGCGCTATCTTCCTAAATGTTCGTATTAAAGTTTAAACGAAAAGAAAAAAAAGTATGATAAAGCGTCGTAAGGGCGAGATCACGTGAGGTCCCGGCCGACGGGGAGATTGAGGAGGAAGAATCGTGCGCGAGGTGAATTCGCGACTTCGATTCTAATAATAGTTCGGTAATAATAATTCGTCTGGGACCCCACGAGGAAACGGAAGGGAAAAGATCTTAAGAATTTTCTCAAGCTGTAAACTATCTGTGTTTTAGCGACGAGCCTGCAAGTGCGACCTGAAGTTTTGCGGATACCGTTCATTTCGATTTAGATTTCATAAAGCCTCTATCAATATCACACAGAACACAAATGCGGCCACGTGTAGATACGGGAAAGCGAGAAAAACGTACAGACGTGTCAGACGACAGCGAAAGTACGATTTCTCTGATTTTTCTCTCAATACTCGCGACTCTTCCGCGAAAAACTCGAATCCGCTCTTGTTCTACAGGTCGAATTTCTTTTGTTCCCCAGAGAAGGGCACAAAAATACGCGTTACGCTTTCAAGGCTTTCGATCGTACTGTGTCACGTATTTTCGTTATCTCGTTTACATACGTAAAACCTTTATTAAAAAAGGTGGAAGGAAGAAAACGGGCGGGTAGAAGAGGCCCGAGAAATCAAAATTGCTTCAGTTCGGCCGGATGTCTCCGTTGCGGTGAATTCTTGTCGATTCTTTTTCTCCTTTAATGCTTTCTTTTCAATTTGCCGGCGGAGAGAGAAGAAGCGAGAAACGAGGCAAATGGCAAATGAGAAAAGAGAATCGCCTCTCGCGTTTCGCTTAATCTTATAATCGATTTTAACGCAAATCTACTATTTATTAAAAGAAGAGAAACTTATTTATTTCTTAGAGATCTGACTAAATTGAAAAACGTTCTAATTATTCGTAAGTTATCTATTACTATTTAGTAGGCGAGACGATAGGATGGAATGACGTATTCTTCCCCTATGTTTTTCTCCGAGAGGAAGTCGGTTTTTCTTGTAAAAAGAAGGTGAGACGAAGCTATAGCTACAGTGATAAATACGATTGTTATATCGAATCTGTACGCAGCTATTACATTATATTTTACGTTTAAGTAAGCGTCAGTTAAATGACTTACGAGCGCATTGTTTTCTTTCTCTTTTTTTTTTATTCTTACTTTTTACAACTCTCTTTACAGCGAACTCTGTCAAAGTACCTGCTTCAAAAACGAAATCTGCGAGAAAAAAGCAAAGCATTACAGGTACCGTCCCATATATTATACATAATTTACACAAGAAAAAGAGAAAGAGAGAAGAGAGAG